GTGATAACTGCCTCATGAGGATCGAGGACCTTTCCCTTTACATAGAAATACAGATCGTCCTTCGATTCCGAGTGAACACAGCCCTCCGGTCCCTCCATACTCCGTACAACACACTGCATGCAGATTGGCAGGTGGCAGCGAATGTGGCCCGGGGATTGCAGGAACTCCACTTTCCGCCTCGTCAGCGACAGCACTGTAACAGTCGTCAGGTCTCCCGGTAGATGCCGGAAAACGCTCATGCTCCTGGACGTAGCCTGTGCACCTCGGATGAGCCACGTGCTTCTTTCCAATGACCGAGAGGGTGGCATGAGAGAGCTAATGTGCACATCGAGAGGACGTCGATGAGATGACATCTGAAGCAGCTTATGTCAAGGCATCCGGGATGGCAGTCCGGGACATACTCTCTTGAAGCGCCACAAGGGCATGAAGGTGGTTAGTAATTTCTACACTGTATATAACAGCAAGCTGGGGGTCTCTGGCAAGCACAGTTGCATCGAAGCGATTCTGTTTTGAGAGCGCTGGTAACAGCTCGTGAATAGCAGGTAACGACAACCAGACTGCGATCAATCTTAGCAGGGGGTTCAGCACCGTGGTAAACTCTGCAGGACTGGATCAGTTTCCTGTCACGGGCGATGACATGGTCCAACTCCTTGTGTGCATGGCCATCGTTAGATATCCATGAGAACTAGTTGATGTCTCTCCTTCTGAACCAAGAGCCCATGATGGCGAGGTTGTGAGATGCACAGAAGGACAGCGGGCGCACATAGTTATCACTGATGGAGCCAGATCCGAAATTGCCAATGACTGCCTCAAAGCCCTCACGGTCAGTGCCACTGACGGCGTTAACATCCCCTAAAAGAACTAGAGGATAGTGGGAGGACACAGATTTGGCACTCTGTCGGAGCTGGTCGTAAAAGACATTCTTGAGATCCTAAGGCGAATTGTCGGTGAAACATACGGAACGACGACCGACACCATCCAGTGGTGGTGGAAAATAATTCGGTGCTGTAAAACGTCCACAAATGCAGCGCACTCACGCCCAGATGAGTGTCAGGTCGTGGTGTCGGTGAAAAATTAAGCCTCAAGGTGTGAGCCCAGAGCTGGACCAAGAGAGGGTGCAATCTTCTTCGCAACGGAGGCTCCCTTGGTAGGAACTTCGATTCACTGGTTCACGCACGACTATGAAATGCACTTGCTTGCGTCGCTATCACCGAATTAATACTTCCGACCAACACAGCTTTTTTTAGCTACAGGCGGATAACACGTCTCACCATGGGACAATTTTTTTAAACGGTGTATTTTGAGGGATAACCATTAATGAGACATTCTTTGGGGTCTAATAGGCAGATGTGCGGTTTCCCTTGGATATTACTATGTCTATAGAGTAATTATTTTACATCTTTTAAAAAAAAACTTAATCACTTTTTTAAAGTTTGGGCGTCCTACATGTGCTCCAAATTTGTTGAATATTTCTGAATTCGTGTTTCAAACATTTCCAAGGGGTTGGTGAACAAAATAACTGCTCTTAAGCTGCAGTCACTGGGAAACGATAATCTTTAAAACTGCACCAGGGTTTGTTTTTTATAAAGTGTACTTGGAGATCTTGGCGTATCAACATGAACGCAAGTTCAAAGGGGCAACAGCACGTCAGTCGCGTGTACACTAAAATCCAGAATAATTAACCACAAAACAAAGCAGGCCGCATAGGTAATCAATCCCACCATTAAAACACCATCGACACTGACAAAATATCAGTTTCTGCTTCGTATTAAACAAGTTTCCTGGTTTTTTTCTCCTAGATACCTGAATGGATCTTTACTGATTGCACCTACCAGGAACTGGATAATTCAGAGTGGTCCAACTTTATTTGATATTGTAAAAAAAAATACGTTTAAATAAGAAAGGGAAGATCTTTGTCAGTAAAGTCATTTTAGGCTAAGTGTATACCCTATATGAAGTGGAGAAACAAGTAAACCGTGCAAAGGATTGATTTATTGGTCATGGTTGTCGGCAGTAGAAGCATTCACTTTCTCCTTTTTTTGTTTTTCCTGAATTTAGAATAGCGCCCGGAGTAAGCTCAGCATTATGAATGCTGCGCAAGTTTCCGTTTCTGACCCTGGCCAACCGGTGGGTAAGTTGCTTGTCACGTTACTAGGTTGTGGTGCTAGTCTGGTTCCCTGACTTGAAGGTTCCTGATGACTGTTGATAAAATCTTACGTCATGTATCGCCCACGACTGATTATAGTTCATGACGCCACATGTCAGGGGTGACCAGGGTTGGAAGCTATCCTGTTTTTGGTATTCATTTTACATAACACACCGTGGCACAAAATACACAGGTTGAAAAAAAATGACATTAAGACATACAAAAACCTGAACAGTATAGTATTTAGCCAACCACCCTGGATTGCCTAAAAGCAAAGTTTCTAGATCTAGCACTGTCGATCATATCGGAACCTTTGCCTTGACAAAATTCTGGCGTGGTGTTTACCTCGAGTACAAAATGAGCCAATGAGACCTTCAGTCAAGCGTTAACTCGAGCATTCAATAATCTACCTCCGTTAAATCCGTAGTAAATATCTACTTTTTTTAAAACTTGTTTTACTTACATTCATCGGCTGATCAGTATGTAACAATGCCGAAAATGTCTGGCCATCAACGACACTATCCGACATCATGCCGACGACAAGTTTGGAATACATGTATTACTATTTTTTCGGAAATCGGAGGAATTCCTCCGTTTTTGTCACGTGACATTGGGAGATACCGTACGCGTAAGTTTTTTTCCAAGGACGGTTAGGGTAATTTTGATAAAAAGGGCGTATCTAAACCGTTGCGCGTGCGTTTTTCGTCGATGAAGGCTTGGGGAAATTTAAATGGGGTACACAAACTTTAAAGTTCGAGACACAACAAAATTGCTCTTCTGGCCGACTTGCATGGTAGCTCTGTTAGAAGAGCGTTATACTTCGAACTAACAAGCCAAGAGTTCGGTTCTCTATGTAGTAATTTTTTCTTGGTGGGGAATTGGTTGGAGGATTTTTTAGTAAAAGGAAAGTGAAGCCCGACATTTACCGTAGTACTGAAGTGTCCACTAATTTGTAGTTGACCACTTCCGTATATATGATAATTACCCCTAACCTTCCTAGGAAAAAATACTTATACCGGGACTCTTTAATCGAAGGAGGGTAGTCTGATTCATCGGGTCTGGGAACCAGACTATAATGGCGCAGAGTTGTTATAAGTTGAGTCAAGACCTGACTTGAATCACAATAATTTATTTGGCGACTTAACTGGAATCCAGTCCCTCATCAAAAGACCCGATTCAAGTGAAAGTTAACAAGACTCGTGTCCCAAAAATAAAAACAACTTCTTTGCGAAAAAATAGTTGCAGTGACTTACTGTGCTGGTTTATAATGTTCACGTCAACGGTTATTATCATCGAGCGTAAAATGTGGTGTGACCACATATAAAAACCTAGAGGTAAATTTCATATGCCCAAAACATTACTTTCTCTGCTGTATAATCGTGTCCAGCTGTTTATGATTCGAATTGACTCAAGCCAACTACTTGACTCTACTTGACTCGACGTTTTCCCCTAATGACACAACTGCACTCAAGTCTCTACGTTACTGCGAATCGATTCGATTTTGTGGTTGAAAAACCGCTGGGACAACTTCCAACACTATAGTCTAGGGCTTGGTCAGTCGTTTCAAAAACATGCACACAAATCTGTTTTCTGTAAAAAAATAACTGCATTTGCAACATTCGCTTCTTTACAGCGTATTTGAGCGACCTCGACCTGCTGGCGCTTGCCGGGAAAATCATGCCATCAAAGAGGGAATCTTTGGGTCTTGTGCTTGGATTCACGAAGGTCGATCTGGCTTTTCATGCTGCAAATAACCCTAACCAAGACAAGTCACAAATTCACGAGATGCTGGTCGACTGGCGTAATCGACAGGAGGGAGACGGGCCGACCAATGTCAAGCTGCTCGGTCAGGCTTTAGCCCATAGTGCAGTTGGACTCGTTGACTTGAAAAAGGAATTGTACAAATATTATCATATTACTGAATAACCAAAACCTTATTCTCTTATGTTTATCATTTATAATCACAGCTAACGCGGATTTTATTTAGACCCTTAATGGGCGAAGGCTTTGATTTTAAGTTATCGCTTCAGCGTTGAAATTTCATACCTGTATACACCAACACATCGTGAAAGGGACAATATCGTACCCAAGATGTCATATTAAAACAAAATGCAAGGTTTCATTTTTCTGTTCCGATTGACTAGTAACTTTACAACAGAATCTGTTCTTGTCGAGTTCTTTTACTCCCTTGTTTAAAAACTCCACCTGCCCTGAAGGGTATAGATATTATACATTGGCTTAATAGAAAACACATTGAAGTAGCATGATGCGGCAAATGCGGCCAAAGTGTATTGTTTTTCTTTTTTAAAAGTCTAAAAGACAAAGTTTAAGACCAAATATTGCACCAAAGATCGGAAGTGAAAGGCTGCACCTCTCGTTAGCTGAAAGATGAAGTCATTGGCTAGAATCCCTCTGAGAAGACGGCAAATCTAACTAAAACTGGATTTCATTATTAGAGAGGACAACCAATGCTCATAGTTCGACAGCCAGTGTTGCGTTAAATACACAGTCACGTCAAACATACACTCTGGTCTTGTATCTTTTCTCCGTAACTTAAAACATAAGGCAGTTTACTTTCACCCAGACCTTTGAAATATGCAAACTAAATAATCTAAAAAACACATATGAATTTTTGGGGCGATGAAATAATGATGAAATTGTCACAGTTGTGGTTGGAATGTTCATTTGCCTCTAGTGAATTAAATAAGTATATAGAACTCTGTGTGACAACTTTTCGAAGTCACGTTGTATGAAGTGAATTGATTAAATGCAACTGTGTCAAATTATATAAGTTTTCCCGGCCGCATTCCTCATCTTCGCCGCCAAGATCATTATCATGCATTTGCATTCGGCTTGTCACTCTCGTGTATCGTATTCGCACGGCATAGCCTTCAACTTCATTTGCAATCGTCGAATGGATCACGCATACAATTAATGTAGCACTGAATTCATTCGATAAAAAGCGCATAATCGTCAATCAATGTTTGCCCTCGGTGACCGGAAGGAGAAATTCCTTCCGATTGATACTTTCATCTTGTTTATGGGTAACCATATTCCTTCGAGCCTTCGTACGGATAGTAGTGTAGATATAAAACTCCAAGATAGAAAGAGTAAATGAGAAATAAGGGAGAATACATAAAATAATATTTGAGAGAGGCATGCTCCCCACAGACTTGTAAACTTTAAAACATAGTCTGAAAAAGCCCCAGAAATTAAAGATAAGAAAATCGAATAATGTTTGTTCATTTAAATTAAGAGATGGAGGCAATAGTACATTTGTTTGCTCTTTCAACGATGATCTAGAGCTATTTCGTGGAGAATTGAATGAACTGTCGTTAATTGGAATGAGATTTGGATTTAGGCCGGGAAACCTGCATTGTAATAACGACTGTTACGTAAACACACACAGGTACCGCACACGATTCTGTGTGTGACCCGCGTTTGACCCCAGGCCACAGGGAATGTACTTTTATAAATATTCTCGTTGTACGCCTGCAGTAGGAAATTTCTTGCAAGCTGACGATATTTCCAGTTGTGTTTCGGAAGTTTGTAGTAAGTTTCATCGCAAGATGTTAAACATTCATTTTATTGATTTGAAATAATGCGTGATGATCATTGTCTGCTAAAATAAAGAAAAGAATACGGAAACTTTATGCACATGTTATCATATCTCCGTAAATAAACATCAGAATTCAACAGACAAAGTGTCAATTAGCAGGTATTTTATGAACAATATATCGGTCATCTTAACTCATGAAAACGGTAGATGTAAACATTGTGCAATGAAATTCTTCAAATATCTCTTTCAGATTACTTCATGGCAAATGTTTCCCGCATAGCAGCAGGTACTGCAGGTGTAACATCTTTCATTAAATTTCATTAAATTCAGATTTTAAATTTGAAGTCTGAGCACCCCCTTACAAGGGAGTTGTTATTATTACAAATTTGTATCCTTCACACTACACCCCCAGGGTGTACGTAGAATCATATTGAAATCGGAGGATTTGCGGCTTTTAGGATTAAACCGAGGCAATCTATATACCTACCGATTTTTTAATCAAACAGAGCCCGCAGAGTACATGCGTACCAAAAATCGCAATGTTTGATGACAAAAGCTTTGATCACTGCGGAGCCCCTTAATTAATGAAAGGACATTCAATAAATTTCTAGCGTAGAAGAAATATCTCGTACGCACGAAATAAACGTCGTGTGCAGAAATGATTATTTCGTGCGCAGGACATACACGTCGTATTGAATGTTCTTTCAGGAGCTCTGTAGATAACAAAGATCTTGCAGAAGGTATTTCAAAATATCTGGCCTTGTTTAAGAGATACATGTACGTCGACAAACAGAAAAATTACGAGGAAACATAATTAAAAGATTACGCAATGGCGTCATCACGACTTCACCCCAAATTTCACAGAGCACGTCTTGATTCGTAGGCAAAGCCAATCCAACATTCGTCAAGTCGGAATTGTAGCTCTAGGGATATCCATATAAACGTTAAATTGCATAGTGATCAAACTCCTGCGTAGGAAAACTGTGTTTAACATCGATGGGATTTGGGAAAGAAGAACACAAAAAAGGATACAACAGAACAAAAGTTTGCAGAAATGTCAATAACTTCCATCTGTTTAGGATATAAAAATCGCCCGCGTTCATGAAGAATCCGCCTCGAGCAGAAGTTCCTCTTCATTGGTTGAAAAGAGCGGCGTTGGTTCATTTTGTTGGTAATGCGACCGTGACGCGAGCATGTTATAGTCGTTCGTGAACCAGCAAAGTTAAGTTCCGACCAAAGGAGTCTCTGTTGCTAGGAAAATTGCGCCCTCTCTCGGTCCAGCGCAAGATTTATAGTTACAAGAACGTCTACCAAAAAAAAAAAAAAAAAAAAAAAAGCCATTCATACCTACCTATGTATGACAAAATAGGGCAACACAAACTCATATTTCTATTTATAGTTCCGGGAAAAACCAAGGGCTTTTACAGCAGCACAAATTATACGTCGATTGAAGTTGAGGCCATAGTCTCAAGTTCTGGACCACTCGTCAACCTCAACCAAGAAAGCAAATCAAGGTTAGTGCTTATTTCCCTTCAATGATCATTCAGCTGTGTGGTACGTTGACATACTTTGAGCGCGAATGAGCACCAGCACCAAGCTAGCTACTGTACGTGTGATGCAGGTGAATCTCAAATATGGCGGCTTATGATAACTCTGTGCAATTACTAGCAAGTCTCGACTCGACCCGCTCATTTCACCTGTTTTTCTTCCCCATCACCACACGGATGCCTGAAGTATTTTCATGAAGGCCCTTGTAAGCTATCAACATTTAGTGGTTTTCCAAATAACTGTTCAGGTTTAGAAGGGACCTGAAATTCCAAATGTTTGACCGGGCTAAAGGGGACCTTGTAGCTTTAGATGGACTCTCATGCATGGCAATGGCGCACTACTTCATGAATACTGGTGGCCAACCTGGACTGGAGGGGGACAGTATATTGTTCTACATCAGGCAGTTTGTGGGCTGTTATTTGCATATAATTAAATTTAACAATTTGCTCATATCATGGAACTTCATGCTCAAATACAGTTTCCTTTAACTCAATTTAGGCCTGATTCGATTTACATTCATTTCCCCGACCGTCCACGCTCAGGAAGTGGATCCCTTCCTCCCTACAAAATACAGGAAACCAACATTCCGCCGGTGGTCGTCATGTACGTGAGAAAACCTGAATGCAAGTAGGCCTACATGAGACTGACATGGTGTACTTGATTGAATGTAACCCTTGCACGAAGTAAAAAAAACAAACTCGAAATGAGACCACGCGATATTACTTTAAAGCGCGAGAGAAATTTGTGGACGACACCGCAGCTAATGTACGATGTGATCTGCAAAATCACATGGTGGGTTTTGTCATTTGAGTGTATATAAACCTCGAAATATGGACACGCTCTTGCTTTATATTTTATGATTCTAGATTGTCTACAAGATGAATCTAGGTTGTCTGTAATCAGTTTTGTAAGCAGGACTGTGTCCACATCAATTTTCAGTTGATAATGCACCAAAATGACAAAGGCCATGACGTGAAGGGTTTCAAGTTCACAGATCATGCACATTATGTGTATGTAGTCCTACATGTAGCGGACATTATAAAAGAATACACCAAACACCGCGTACATGGTATAAACAGTGGGTCGTGGGAGGCACACAGTTTTGACCCTGTCACCGCCCAAGTATATGTATGGACTTTATTCACGGGGCCGGCCATATTGAAAGCCAGGTTAACTCTTTATTTTTGAATGTTGAGAGTACAAATGAAGGCAATACAATGACATTTCATGACAAAATTGCACCAGTCCACTCTCATGAATAATTTCAAATTCATAACTGAACACAGAGAATTATCATACCTTACCATGCAGGTTCCAAAAAATATTGAAAGGGAGGCTTGAAACGCACGAAAGTATTACTGGTGTCATCCTAATCGACAGTTTGCAATATATAAAACAGATTTGGGGGATAAGACCAAAAATGGCCTCCACGTAAATAGGGTTTTATGACAAAGCACTCCGCAAAGACGCTCCCAAAAATCACCACATACTGTACCCACCATTAAGTTTGGTTCTTGTGGACGGGGAGGCACGAAAGGTTGCATGCCAGTAAATATATAAATAGGCCCAAAACTGCCTGCGCAGACCGAATCATGATTTGTAGGCTGTCAAATTCTCTGCTACTGAAGCATTTTGTGGCCCTTGGACTGTGGATATAGTTTGTAAAGGAGCATGAAATCTACCAGCAGGACTGCTCTATTTTGTAATGGAGTTTATATATAGACACCGTTTCCCAAAATGGCAATGCCCTCATGACTTTTTTGAGGAGTGGGTATCTCTGGAGAGAAATATCTTCAAAACCCATCGGTTAAATAACCTAACTTTACCGAAAAGTGAAAGGAAAATGTAAAATGAGGAAGTGAGCTTTAAATTGATATGTGTCTTGAACACCTGAGAAACTTGTACATGTGTATGTCTCAGGATATTTTAAAGTGGGGATTTTGATCACTGTTGTCTACGGCAGCTCATTTATTGGTTGGCACCCCGAAAAGGTCCCAAGTCGTGTCAAAAGTGATGCACAAAACTGGCAAGAGCCGGTGAAGACGGTAAATCTGTCCCCCAGTGAAACTGTCCAGGGGAGTTACCTTTGGGTAAAAGTGTCCCCCTGGCCCGGTAAATCAGTCCCCCTCCAGGTAATTGTATCCCCTCAGTGTAACTGTGTCTCCCCCTCTCATTTTGCCACACAGAGAAGTTTTAATTTTCGTGGAGGGTTGATGAATTCAGTCCACGTGAAATACAGTTCAATTTTATTTAGCCCTTCATCAAAATGGTGGAGGGGTATGAGATGTAAAATGTTTAATATGTTTCTGCGCAAAATCGGAAAAAAATAGCAATCGTTATTCTTGCAGCTTTCTTGCACGTGTATAGTCTCGTACCACTCAAATCTCACACCTGGCACCTTGCCATCTAGCCGAGTCGCAGGGCGCGAACTTTAGCTATAGGATATAGCGCCCTCCTCATCCAATGGCCGCGTTTCGTCTTAATGAGTTTTCCAGAAAGAGCACGATGTCTGTCTGAACGCTGATTTCCTCGACAGGCACTTTGATTTCTCAGTAACTTATGGATTTCAACAAAGTATGAGTTCAACGGGTGAGCTTAAAGAGGCGCCCCGTTTGAAAAGTACATGAAAGGGCCCGTGTGTGAACCCACAGGAGCAATCTTGCCGTGTTTAGGGGTTTCTTATGAATGTCCTCGAATTTCTGTTATAGACATTCATACAGTTTGCCAACACATCTGAATTGTACCAATCAACAATAACTATTGTTACCAGAGATGTGAGGAAGATTTTCTTTGGACCTTTTTTGTTTCACAGAAACTTTGCTCATTGACTCTTAATGACACGTCAATCAAGATTATTAACAATGACTGGAAAACTTGAAAAGGTACAATTCATTTGTGTGCAGCAAATGTCCTTCACGACCCAACACAGTAGCATCACTTGTACTGTACTTTAGGTCCTTGAATAACGTATAAGTACATGTATAAAGAATTTCCTCACTACACTTTGAGTCTTTGACTTGACACTTGTCCGTCAATAACTGGTCAAAAACTCTGAAACAACGATAACCCAATTTCCACGTATAACTTTTAATCTTTTATCTCATGTGTCCGGTACACACATTACTTTGGACACATACATGAACACATGTACATCCATTTAAAACAAGCAGTCCTTGTAATTCAAGAAAACAAAAATGCACAAGCACCTTCGTTCATCATAGATTCTCATGAATCACATTCTTATGTGACAACTGAACTTATCTGCCAAATTCTGCATTTTCCACTAAGTACATGTGCATATTCAGTCCATTCATCTGGAATGTCCAGATTGTTTCCATACTCTAAACACTGCACATTTACATGTACATCATGTTGTCCAACCCATAATCATTCAACTCACACCTCTTGTAGGCCTGCATGTGCTTTATCCAGGGATCTGCCGCTGCCGGTCGGCGCCNTTGAATAACCTATAAGTACATGTATCCAATGCCTGCTCTTACAATACACAATTATTTACTTGGTCATGACTATGAACTGGAATAAAGAATTTCTTCACTACACTTGAGTCTTTGACTTGACAATTGTCCGTCAATAACTGGTCAAACACTCGGAAACAACAATAACCCAATTTCCATGTATAACTTTTAATCTTTTATCTCATGTGTCCGGTACACACATTACCTTGGACACATACATGAACACGATGTACATCCATGATGTACATCCATTTAAAACAACCAGTCCTTGCAATTCAAGAAAACTAAAAATGCACAAGCACCTTCGTTCATCATAGATTCTCATGAGTCACATTTTTATGTGGCAACTGAACTTTCCCACTAAGTACATGTGGGTATTCAGTCCATTCATCTGGAATTTCCAGATTATTGCCATACTCTAAGCACTTTACATTTACATGTACATCATGTTGTCCAACCCATAATCATTCATCGACTCACACCTCTTGTAGGCCTGCATGTGCTTTATCATGACTACTTGGCCAAAATCAGAGAGAGAGAGAGAGAGAGAGAGAGAGAGAGAGAGAGAGAGAGAGAGAGAGAGAGAGAGAGAGAGAGAGAGAGAGAGAGAGAG